ATTTTTGGATTTTTTTTTGATTGCGTTTGATTTTTTTTGTGATTTTTTCGGCCTTGTACAATGATTTTCGAAGACAGCACCCCCTCGGTACCGGGCCTTTCAGAGCGGACAATAGGCGCTACTACAGTGTTGCGGGATTGCATACTTTGTCGGACCGCAGACGCACCGCACCGCATGGCATCTTGCGCGCGAGCAGAGGAGGAGGAGGAACAGGCAAACCAGCAACACGGCGGCGGCGTTCTCTCTGATACAACCGGGGGTCACGGCTCGCTTGAGTTAAAACTTGAATCTTTCATACGGTTCTGCTCGACATTGCGCGCCGTAACTTTGTGCCGCTGCCGCTCACGCCCACACACAGTGCTGTGTGGGTGTGCCTGCATGTGTGAGTACTATTCCCTCCCCATCGTAAATTTACAACATTTTTAGACAGTCCCCAGGAGTGTCTCTACCAGAAGGAGAAAATATAAAAATCTAGCCCCCATCTTTTTATTTCGATTGACAAAATATTTTGTGAACTCACGAGAATCCATTCTTTGTTTGTTGATAAAATTCCAAGTCGATAGGAAGGGCTTTTTAATTTTACAATTTTGAATTGTAATTTTACAATTTTGAATTGTAATTTTACAATTTTGAATTGTAATTTTACAATTTTGAATTGTAATTTTACAATACACCATCAAGGAAAATTTTCCTGTAAAACCTATAACCATTTCTCACGGTGTATTTACACACACACAAGAGTACACACACGATCCGCACCTGAATATGTAGATGTTGGGCACGGTGCGGATGCCGCGGTGTCGGATGAAGACGAACACGAGGGTGCCGTTGCCCACGGCGCCCAGCACGAAGATGAAGAGGAAGATGACGGGCACGAGGTACGTCTCCACGCGCTGCTCGTAGGGCACGTACGATCTGTGTGCACAACACCATTCTCGTCTCTCCCTTTCTCTTTTTTTAAAAATATTAAATTGGCAGAAAAAAAAAATAGAGTGAGAAAGATAGGGGGGGGGGGAGAAGGCACCCCTAAAGTGACTGCATAACAAGAATTTATTATCTAGGTGAAGGTTGACATTGAAAGCGCGATGCTTGGATTTACAAACATCATGTGTGTTCTGGCGACGCACAAACAGCCTACCCATCAATACTGCCGCCACGCACGCCCACCTCGCCCCGCCCCGCCCCGCCCCGTCGGCCGCGAAGCATATGCCGCATTATGCATGAGGCAAATCAATTTGCAGAGCCATCGGCAGAGGCATCGCGGAACAGAGCAGATCGCGCGGTAGGCCGCGTCGGGCGCGGTGGCGGCTGGGAACGCCCTTGCTGCGCCTGCGAACGCCCACCCCGCGCGAGCGCGGGAACGCCTCGCCGCGTCTCCGAAGGGGAAGAGCAGCGGCCTAGCAGAGCTCACAATGGTATTCGTACCCTCTGCGAGACGGGGCGCGGCGGGGCGGGGCGTGGCCTGGCGTGGCGGAGAGAGGTATTGAGAAGAAATTGAAGAGGAAGAGGGGAGTCGCCGTGCTCAAGGGCGAGTCGGGGGGGGGGGGGGGGGGGGGCGGAAGCACTGCAGTGCCAAGAGAAAAGCGCTTCCGACACTTACGCTTGGCACAATTATCCATCCGCCCCACCCCACACTCCACCCTCAACCAAACAGCTCGGCGATTTATTCATTGCTCTGCAGCACCCAAACAAAGACTTTAACGTGTCAGTGAATTTACGTATTGATGATTAGGCCTTTATGCAGTTTTTTTAAACAATAGAGATCATAATATTAATATTGGAATTGTTGAAATTATCATAATTTTAAAAAGACCAGACATGTTGTTTGAGCTCGCTTTCTTCCTTTTGATTTGAAGTAATGTAAGTTATTATTTTCTTTTTTTCAGTCAGCATGCTTCAGCTTAGTTAGCATTCAGCTCACCTCTCGTCGCCCTCCAGCGCATCGGAGACGTTCTTCCACAGCGTTCCATTCGCCAAGAAACCTGGAGGGAGAGAAATACAACAAAGTGAGACCGATTGTACCTCTAGAGGTATTACGCCGTCCTCGATTCAGTCCAGATGGCCTGCGTCCGTCGAATGGGGCACGCCAAGCTTTAGCCGGCAGAGAAAGAATCGCCCGGATACGACAAAAGCATCCTGACTCGAATCGGGTCGCGTTTGTGTGTGTTGACGGGAAAGGGGGCGTCCATTGTACCAATCAGCAGGCTTTACGTTTCACACACGTGCATGCACAAACGATGAGAGAAACGAAATATATAAATGGTAAAAGTGGGAAGCTGTCATTGGACTTGTCAGCCTCTCTGACACATGATGCATTCCCAATCCGTTGGCTCAACTTCGCCGTTCATCGCAAAACTGGTTTAAACGAGAGCAGCATTGGCATGTATTAAGTTAAAAGCAAAGTGGACTACTACACTGTGGACAAAGCACGGTCTCCTGGTTAAAAATCATCAATTGAGAGAAACCTCCGTTTCTCGAAACCACTGTGAAACAAAAGTCAAAGTCTTGTTTATTTTCAACGCACCTTAAAATGTATAGCTAATACGCTAAACCACTTAATCGAATCACGAAAATTCAGGAAATTATATTTCAGTACAGAAAAAAGAAAACAAAGCCTCCCTGTCAGTAGACAACACCCCCCGTCCCCCCGGTCCCCCGTTCGACGTGAGCTAGGTCTGCCCCCCTGGTCGCGGGGCTCGTGGCTGCAAGCACAAGTAGAGCAGGAACACGCTCGCGCCGTGTCCTGGCATGCGGCCATATCGTCAGTCCACCGCGCCCCCGCCCCGCCCCGCCAAGCCCTTTCGCGTCAATTTGTCAGGCCAGCCGGCCCCCCTACTGACCCCCATTTCCCACATGTATAACTTACACTTTCCGCTTCCGCCAGTCCTGATCCTGACCGCTCCGGTAGGGGAGGAGGAGGGGGGACGGAGGGGGAGGTTGCCTTGCCCCCCCCCTCCCTTTCAGACGACCAGGTCTGCCCACTGGACGACAACAGAGAACACAACTGCACATTCGTGGTTTTTGCAAACCTCCGAAACAATTTGTTTCGAAAAAGTTTAAATGAAATTTCAGATTAAGACAAATAAATGTGTAATCTCTCGTACGTCGAGCGCACGCTAACGGGTACAAGAGGCGTGGCGGGAGTGAAGTCAGGGAGTCAGGGTCATGCGATGACACACGCACTCTGAGCGGAGCGTTGGCGTCGCAATCCTTCTCCAC